TTTGTATTGCAGGGATTGTTTGGCCTATTTAATATCCCTATCAAAGGATGCATTGTTTGTTGAGCAATCCTAAAAGGAAATCAAAGAGAAATTTAAAGAACGCTGTACGACATTTAAAAGCCAGTAAAAAGCTGTGCTTTGCCAATCAAAACAAAAATATTATCTTCCCCTTGACCTTTGCTGCTAAATTTCAGCCCAGATAACAGTGCCTGTGTCTTTATGCTATAGGAACATTACAGAAGCTGAAAGGTGGGTGTGCTTGTTTTGTTTCTGTAGAGCACCAGCTTTGCACTAGACCATGACTACCAGCTTATTTTGTGGCTGGTACTGGAATGGGTCATGTCTCTGAAGGTTGCAGGAACCAGGAGATGCTCCCAGGGGGTAGTATTATTTCTACAGCAGCAAGTCTCAGGAGGGATAGCAGGGGCAAAAGTTACAAACAACATGGTCACCAGTGTTTGATCAGTTAATGAATGGGATTTCACAAGATGATCACCTGTGATTCAAGGAGACTGGGTTTCGTGACCCCAAAAGTCTCTTCTGGCCTGATATCACCCCGATGCTAATTGGTTCTACTTTATCAAAGACTTTAACTGTGAACTTCAGCTACTGAATGAAACAGCCATGTGGCTCTTACCAATCCTGTACTGTGACTTGTAAAAACAGAAGAAAAGAAAAAAGATGTTAAAAATATCAAGCAAATGCTAAGGTTGGAATAGAACTGGCTTTTATCTGTTTCAGTCCAGAGTGCACTAGATACAGTAGTATTTCTTTGAATGGAACAAAGAAACCTCAAAGATTTTATAATGAATACCCTTTCTACACATTTCTACAAAGCAGTCTACAAAACTGGGAATGAGAGATGTCATTCTTAAACACATACCACAGGACACTTTTCTCACAACTACAATAATAAGGTATCATTTTCTATTAGATCCAATTCGACTTTTCCATAAGGAACTGTAAAAGCCTCTCTCAAAATCCTGGCACCAGCATATGTAATAGGAATCTAACACTGGCTCTGCTGGAACAGAATCTCACCCTTCACGAACAGAGCCTTGGGAGGAAAAAAAATAGTGTGTTGGTTTTGTTGCTGAGCCAGCTATTTAACTCCATCAGCTAGCAGAAACAAAGGAAAACCAAATAAAACTATAAAGTGCATGTTCCTTTTGGACAAATAAGCCAAAAACCTTTTAAATTTATGGCTCTACACCATCCCTACCTGATAAGTCATACAGAAAGCTGCAGCTGCAGATATCAGCGATCACATAAATAAATTTTATTATGCTGTACAATACTAGTATGGTTAGACACACTAATCATGGGAGAAGGGGAGGCTGCTATTTTTTTCCTGTCCCATATGGTAATAATTTTGTATGATTGAACTGTTATGAGCTAAATAAAACTACACATTAACTGTAAGATACATTGCAAATACATTAAATCTTCCCTGGAGTTTTAGCAAATACTCGCTTTTTCTATGATGCATTTGGAATTAGCAAAGGAATCTATACCAGGCCATAGGATTTATAAATAGATTTGGCTTTCTCTGCAATTCTTTATGGGCAATTATTTCAGAAATGAAGAAGCAGAGCCACAAATAAATAAAATAATTGCAGCTGATCAGGCTTTATTTACTGCTATCACATTTCCCTGACTGTTAAGCTTCCCTTCTCCCGTTTGCTCCACTACCTTGAATCGATGACCAGATGAAGAGTTGTCAGTTAATGTCAAATGCTGAGCTCAAAAGGTGCCAAAGGCAGATTCTGGTTTCTCAATTTCAAATCCTGCCTGGGCCTTTCTGGAGCTGGCTTGCTCCCTGGATATATTCATCATGGAACTGGGAGGCTGGGAAAGGGCAGAGGAAGTCAGATGAGTTCTGCAGAATTTCAAGCAGTTTGCCAGGGAGTACATTTTGCTGTGACTCCCCTGCAGAAGTCACTGCCAAAGGTCTGGAGACCCACCCTTTCGCTAGCAGATGCCCAGCTGTGTCAGGGAAGGGTTTGCATGGTCTCCCTTACCTGCCGCAACCCTGCTTGAACAGGTATTAATCCAGTTTGGAAGATACTGGCTACAGCTATGTATAGCAAAACCAGCTTTTCAGGTAGTTCAAATTAATCAAATCCAGGCAGCGACTGGCCTCATGTCTACATATTACCCTCTGTGTACCTCGCACCATTCAGCTTTCAGTACTACAGATCCCAAACAGGCTGGAAAAGTCCAGATTATCAATCTTCCTTGGGATCAGGTTTGCAATCCTACCAGTGTCAACTCTATTCTCTAAAAAACAGTGGCTCAGTTCAGTTTAACATACAGATTCAACTCATATTGCCCCCTCCATCACTAAGAAATAAACTGAGGCCCCAAATTTCATTTGCAACTGGACACTCACTACTATTTAATTGCTGTGTTACCTGAGGTTCATGAAGAAGGCTGCTTGTATGAAGAGGCTTCTCAACTCAGGAGAAAGAAAAGCGTATTTCTGCTGCTTTGAAAAACAATGGAACTGATAACACATAACAACTGAAACACGTAGGATGCACCATGTGGAGATGTCCTATCCACCAAGGGCTTCTTTCAATGAGCTCATCTCAGAACCAGCCTACAAGATGATATTTTATGGTCCTCAAATTAACTACTTCGAAAAAACATCCTTTATGCCTCCAAGTCTTGATGACCAGAGATATTTGGCCCTGATCTGTGAGCTCCTTATAGCTCCTACATCGGGAAGGCACATGCAGCTTTGTGAAGCCTGGATCAGAAGGGTACCCTACAGAAAGGAGGGAGTACCACAAACAGCCTAGAGGGTGTCTAAGGCCTGAAGAAGGTGCTACAACAAGAAGTCTTATATCTTTAAAGCTTTTTTTTTTTTTTTTTTTGGTAGTTCTGAGCTGCTTATGTCTGTATAAAGAAATGCTGCTGCAAACCTCTCCAAGAACTCCATCAACAACAGTCCATAAGCTGGTGAAAGAGGCCAATGAGACCAGATGCCAAAGGAGCTAGGAAGATTTACACTAGCTGAGCATCTGGCGCCCTGTTCACTGTTATCAGAATGAAGATGAATGCTTGCAAATATCCTTATTCAAAATCACTAATGTGTTCAGTGATGCTCAGCACAAACGCAGCGGCATTGCTACTGTAAGGTGTGGTGCCTGGGAACACAGCTGCTGAATGCTCTAATGCTGCTTTTTCCAGTGGTGTGTGTAAAGAGCAGTGAGAAAGTAGGGTGTTGCTGCCCTTCAAATCAAGCAAAGGGAATGCTTAAGACATCATCATTTTCCGTTATTGTTTTAGTGGATGGTAGTAATTGCTTCTACACAGGAGCGTGGCTATACCTCTATTGTCATCCATCATCTTGCTGAGGCTGTGTACAGTACAGGAGAAACTGTAAACTTTTGATTTGACCTCATTAGCATTCCCAGAATTACAATGTCATACCAATGATAAAGATTGAGATTATCTGCATCTGAGCAAATGGAGAAGAAACAAATCACACACTATGTGCAACCATGATTCTGCCAAATGCTTCAAGGCTGCTCAAACCTGCCTGGTTCTTGATTTCACGTGTGGGACGAGACACAATTAAGAATTGTGTCTGTATGCATCAAACTTGCAGGTATAGGGGATGGACTCATGCACTGATGATCTGAGCATTCGGGGAGAGGGCAGAGAGAGGAAGGGAAGATATTGGAGTAGCTGCTCTCTGATACCGCCTTCCCTCCGACTTGTCAGTATTATATCTGTGCTTCCTCTGACCTCTCCCAGGCAATCAGTGATCCACTAGAAACACCGAGAAATTTGTGTGCAATTTGGGAAATAACACAGAGGTATCTGGTCTTTGCAAAAATTCCTTGTGCTGCCCAGAAGTTCATAGGATTTCCTTGTGATTCCCAGGACAAACGCACATAAGGAGGGTTCCTGCTCAAACTTGGGTTGAAGGAAAGTGGGACCAATTATTTGGCCTTTCTGGAAGTCAGATATGATCAAGTCAAATCTGTACTTGTCTGAGGTCTGTCTATAGCAAAATCTATAGTGAAACTGGGAGTTTTGCAGTCTCCCACCCCCTGAGCTGTGCTCCCCGCTACAGCTGTAACACAATGCCAAGACATATTCCAAACCACTCGTTCTCGGTTACTTTAGTCTTTTATGGACCATCTTAGAGGAAATTAACTGAACTTCCCTACAGTGGGAACAAAAGAGGGAAATGAATTTATTATTCTAGTAGTACCCTTGACACAGATACTGAGTAGCTTCATTAAACATTTCACAGCGCCAAGTGTCTTTCCTAAACCCTCTACAGTAAGCAGAGTCATTTTCCTTATTCCAACACAAACATACAAGTCAGGATTCAGAACTCATTTACATCTGCTTTGTATCTGAATAACTTCCCTCATCTCAATGGGATCTGGGCAGGCACAAATCAAGGCTGCATCATCCTAGTCCTTCCCTCTCTCTCTAGATTCATTACCTTGCAGTACCACTCAGATAAACTCGTTTTCACAGAGTCAGCATAGCCACGGCCAAATGACTAATACAACCCTTTAAATACAAACAACAATAAATCAACAGATTAAATTATAATTTATCAGACAAATACTATTTAGCTCTTTCCAAAGCTGTTCTGAACCATCTCTCTTGTCTGGCCATATTCCAGAGAAGCACTGACTCTAGATAAAGCTCAGACCTGCAGAGTAAGTTTACATAAGCAAGAAATGCTGAAGACATCCTGTATTTATGATGGGAGATTTCACAGAGATCAGAGTGAAAAACATTCCCGAGAAGACTGTAATGTATCTGAAGCCTCCTCAGCATCTCTTCAAAGACCAGTCTACCGGGGCAAGGTCTCAACAGACCCTGAAGCTCTACATTCAGCAGCAAGCCTAGGGAACCAGTCACATTAACCTTGAGAGATATTACAGGAAACTTTTAATGGCTTAGAAAATAGCAACAGGATAATCCACTACAATTTCACTTTACAACAGAGACTGTTTTTTACTTACTTCATTGGTTTGAACAACGCTTGTCCATAGTTCTGGAACGTCATGATCAGCTTCAGCTGGGTGCCTCCTGATTTCATCGCTGTGGGAAAAACAAAACCGCTTTAAAATCCTACAATGTGGATCTACTTACATTCAGCTTCCTTTAAACAAAATCCTATGTTTTGCTCTATATTAGATTCAGCACTGCAGTATCTGAGCACCAAGTAGGGTGATCCTAACCGGAAAACAGGTTATTCAGGGGAGGGCTTTGAACTGCCGACCGGGACTATAAATGGATTGTACTCCCTGACACGTCTTTGGTCTTCTTCAATTGGCCACTATGGGCTCCATAAGTACTCTAACTGAACAGACCATTGCAGTCTGGTTTTCTCCATCTTCAGTGGAGTCACGATGGAATCTCCATCACTTTTGGAGTTCCTTTTAACAAGGGACACACACTGGGAAAGGAGATGGGATGCTTTCAAAGACAGCTGCAGTTGGGATGTTACAGTCCAATGCACAGTAGACATCTTAATAAAACTATGAGAAGAAACTATAGCAATGTCTGATCTCTGCTGCAATTCTAATAATTGCTGCTGGGCAGTAGAGATATGCAAATCCATCTCCTCTATGCACAATGGATATGTATCCAAGCCCATCCATTAACTTCAAGGGATCCCAAGGTAGTTTGTACAGGAGAGGAGAGCTGTGCAGGGCCGGTCGCTGGCTCTGCTGGGAGGGTAGGGAGGGCACGTGGAGACAGCAAGGACTATGGTCCACACTGCACACCGAGGGCCATCTTTGCTCAAACATTAGATGTGCTCACTTCCAAGCTGAGAGCTAATGGAAATTTAACACCGACATTTATTCATACCAGTCTGAGCAATTTGAACAATATCATGTTAACAGCCAGATTATAGTGTTTCTAAAGTCAGAGCAATTTTTTTTTATATATAAGAATTCATAAAAATGCATTTTACTTGATGATAAGGCTACTTAAAAAGATAAATATATACTTTGGCAAACCAGCTGCTTTTTTACCATCTCAATCAAAACTGCTCTGAATAAATGAAATGACCCACACCCTGACTCCTTAACTCACTTCTGTGTTAGGAGAGGCAGGCCATGGCAGTAGTCTGTGTGGATGAGTCAGCCCTTTAAAAATGCTTCCTACAAATGACCAGATAATCAATCCCTTTCTTTACAGTTGTGACAAAACCCATGTCAACTGAAGAACTACATAAATGTCAGGTTACCTTGATCTGTAAATTTTGGCTTAGAGCTGCCCTTGTTCCATCTATATAGCTTGTACATGTTTTTTCTCTAACCAATGCCATTAGCTGCACATCCCTTTAATTATTCATCTCTGTGACATATTGCTGATAGGTCACCAGCTCTCTTTCAGCACTTGTAATCTATATTTTTGCAACAAAGTGCTATGCAAATCTGGTCAGTGTAATTATACTTCTCCAAGAATAAAATCCCTCCTGCCTTGCTGTTTTGATGACCTCAGCCTTCTCTTGCATTTCCAGTTTATCCCAACGGAACAAATAAATAATAAGAAATTAAAGGGCATTAAATAATTTGCACTGAACAGGTAAAGCAGAAGCACATGGCTTTCACATATTAAACTCCCTCTCTTGTGCAGAACAGGTCAGTTGATCTGCGCCTGAGGGAAGAAGGAGCAGTAAGCCTTTTCATACCCAGCCTGGAGCCTGAGGGCAATGAGAAGCAGCAACCCTCTGACCAAACACCTACCTCTGCTGCCCTAGGACCATTAGAGCCCAGCTATGCACTCTGGAAACACTCCTGGTTATCCTGGACAGCAAACAGGCAGCTGGAGCTGCCTTTGCCCCATGTCCGTAGGAAAGACGGCCATGCCCAGGACCAGTTCCCACCACCTTCCCTGCCCAGCCGCTGCTGAAGGCTCAGGATTTGCACAGCTCATTAAGGCACAACCTGTATTTGCACCCCTATTTGAGTGGGCTGTCTCCATATAGGTCACTAATATCAACCTCAGTGCCAAAGGACAGAAATGCCTTCTGTTTGTCGGACACAACTTCCCAGCCCACTGGCCTCAACACAGCTGCTTGCAGACTGCTCACACCAAATGAAGACCAAATGTTTCTTCTCCCAAACTGATGTAATTTATACTTCTTCATTCAATTCTGAGGAGATTAGGGCTTAGATATTGGCTCCCTCTCCTCTGTGAGACATGTATGTCCAAAATATACCAAAGATCCTGTAAGTCCACCAGAGAAAAGCAATGGATAGATCCTCTTTTGAGGTATGGCTGGGAAGCCAAGAATCTGGGAAATAACAGCAATGCAGTGAAGAAGAAAAAAAGATGTTCCAGCATGCCCTTTTCTAAGCACAAAGTTTCAGATACACTAAGACTGGTTTCTCAGCAAATTGAAGCCACTTGACAGATAATGATTTTGTTAGCAGCTGAACCCAACAAGTGTGTCATCACCATGCAGGGAAATGTATGAAGAAGATTAACAATTCATAATAATTCTTCCATGAGAAACAAAGGCCTGGATTCCTGTCAGAAGGAATTGAGCTGAAGTAAGACAAAAGCATCCCCTTGGTCTTTTTAGATCCATCTTATTGTATTGCCTTAATTGGTTACAATAGTAGCCTCAACCAAACACAAGTTTTGCTGGCATGTTGTCCCTCCACTGCTGCTAGGAGTAAACTTTGGATCTCCCCAAAACAGAGGGTGACATTGGTGGGAATGGTGTCCCATTGTGCCTTACAGCAGGGCATGCTGGAAGCCACATGCATCATGGACAACAAACCGTGCCAGAGATCCATGTTGGCTTCCCCCCACATCATCTGGACTAGCATATTCCCACTTCGGCTGCTTGTTCAGTGATGCAGATGTGGTGGCCAGGCTGGAGGTGATGCAAAGCCACCCTTCAAGTCCAGACTAGCTAGAGTCTATCATTGCAATCCCTGCAGAGAGGGAGACACCTGACCTTAGACTGCCCTTTTGAACTCAGCAAGACCCTTCATGCACCTCTAAATTTAGCAGATTTGGGAACAGTCCAGGGTGCACAAATTTTGGGGGTGGCAATGCCAGAAAAGAGCAGATCTCATTGGAGATGGTTCACTCAGACCTCTAGGTCAGATTACTTCCCTTGTCCTAATTTAGCGTTACATCTGTGTACTGGCTTCCCTATTATTTTCTGAGCTATATTCCTTCAGGAACTCCCTTTCCTGCTCAGACCTCAGTTAAACATGTCCCTCTGGCCATTATGGCCAAAGAGTGGGAGCCCTGTCATCTTCCAGGAACTTATCTGAAACAAACACTGTTTGCTCATCTGGACATGTTCTTGTGCTTTCACCTACTGCTCATACGAACATTTCTGAAGAATTTATAATACCCAGAAGCAGCATATACAATTTTCCAAGAAATCAGAGGATGCTACACCATTGCAATCTGTCATGTCTATGATCAGCAGCCTTAGGTATTTTTAAGGCAGCCTTGCAACATAAGGCTATACTGACTCCAAGGGAACCACTAGTCACACTCTGAATTCACTTATTTTTTTAAGGTTTCTGAATATACTGTAACATCACAGGTCATGAACAGCTCTAAAAGACTTTATAATACCACTAGCTCTCAGCAGGTACCTCAAATCAAGTCTCATACAGCTCCTGGATGTACTGGCACAGTGTTAAAAACAAATCCCAACACCATCATTACTTTTTATCTTTCAACAACTCAAAGCCTCTCTTCTCTCCCCCAAAATAGAAGGAAATGGAAAGCAGCATTAACCCTTCCTGTTAACCCAGGCTTTTGGCTGTGATCAAAAATCTTCCTACTTTAGGAGACTTTGCAAAAAATTCCCTGAGATATCTCTTTCTTGAGTGTAATTCCCTGAGATATCTTTTTGCTTGAGTGTATGTGGGATTAGAATATTGTCCAAAGACTTGTGAAATGGGTGGGATTCCTTCTGTTTTTTCTGATAGACTTTGGATCAAGCCTCCAGAAATCTCTACTCCATTTACCTCTATGAGCCTGTTGTCATGGCCACATGCCATGTCTGCTACTTCCCTGCCTTGTCCCCTCACCAACACAAGACCTGAATTCCCTTCCTGATCCATGGGCACCATCCAATATAATAGATGCACTACCTATCATCTGTCAATCATCTTTCTATAACTGTATGGTACAGGGTTTCTGGCTAGCATCTGGTACTAATTCCTAACAGAGACACAATGTTGCCCAAAGGAATATGGCCCAAAAGGATTTGGAATTTGAATTGGTCTGGCTTTCCAGCTCCACTGTTTTGATGCATGATAGCCCTCATCCTACTGGCTTGTCTAGACCATACGGTCATCTGATGGAGAATGAGTCCCAGCAGGACCTCCAAACCTGGCTTTTGGTTCAGAATCCAACAAACATTTTAAAATGTATTTAATTGTGCAATGCTAATGCCCGAGAAGTGAGATCCAGTCAAGGCCTGGGATGCAGTAAACATCTGAAACGGAGGATGTTCAGATCCATTTTGGGTGCCTATTTATAGATCAAGCTTAAATCTAACATAAGTGTGTTGATTTGCTTTAACAAGTAATACTCTGCCCCAGGCTAGAGACATGGCCCTGTACAAGCTGTAAAGAACATATTTCAAAACAAATTCAAGCCCTCATCATCTCTTAATTTGTTCTTGTTCGAGAAATTCTACTAACTTGTTTTTAAAGGCCTTTCTTGGTTTAGTCAAGAGAGTAAAAGACTTCTGGAGGGAAAGAGATCTGTGAAATCATTCAGAGGCTTTGTTGTACATTTAAAGTCCCCTCCTTTCATCTGGAACTGTACATTAAATCAATCTGTTGACTCTTGGCAGATTCATTGTTTTCTTATACAGTAAATCAATGGTGCTACATTTCATTATGTTTTTCATGTGTTCTCAACAGCACTTTTCCCCTTCCTTTGGATGAGATTTTTATAATTTCCTTTAGCGCCAGAATTTATGTTCAATATTCACCGTCTTGCCTTTTTCTTTTTTTTTTTTTTTTTTCCTGACTTGAAGTAGAGTCCACCTTAGTTAATTGCAGCATTTATTCACTGTGTGAGTAATCTTGCATGCTTGCTTTCTAATTACTGCCTGTACAAACTGAAGGCATTGCAGGTTCAGAAATTAACTCAGTCAGGTAATGTTTCCAAACCTTTCCAATCAGAGAATTTAAAGACTAAAAACATAAACCCCAACTAAACATAGGAATTACAAAATCCTATTCTGCTCACAGGCAATCCCACAGCACAGAACCTCTGGACAGCAGGACAAGCAAGAGCAAGACCCCACTGGCTCTAGAATGCACGAGGCCATATTTGTTGTTAAACTGCTGACAGTGCTGCCACAATTATGCACAGACATCTTGTAAATATGCAAGAAAATAGCTAACTACGGTTATTTATGCATGCAATAAACAGTTATGAAAGGCAAAGGAAATGTGCAATTGCTTGTGCATGTGCTGCTTCTGAAAACTGGGTTTCAGTGCTCAGTGGAAAAACAATTCTCTCTAGGCTCCTATTTATGGCAAGAGGAAATTTTCAGTGAATTAAATCAAATTAAGAGCTATTCCTTTATGCTGAACAAAACGAATAGGAAATACATATATTGATGCAGAGCACAAAATACATCCTCAGCTTGAAAGCTCTGGGTAACCCCGTTCTTTTCAAGGCCAGCTCTAGGTGTCACTGTGGGAACTGAATGTGATGCTCCTTCCCATCCATGGATTTGTTCCATTTAAACTTTAACATCAAGAAAATGTCACCTTGGTGCTCCCTGCTCCTGGGAATTGCTTCTGTCACCGTTTTCATTTTAAAATAACACTGCACATTACAGAGTCGTGTGAGCAGTTCTGATAGATGGCAGGGGATCAATCTGGTCACCACTGTCCTCCATAAATAATGCAGGCTGAGCAGAGAAATTACGATGTGGCTAAGGAAGCTGTTTAGCTGCAGTTTGGATCTAATTACTGTAGGTATCAAGAATCCGCACAGCAAATCACCTAATTCTATTAGAGCCAAAGCAAATCAGAACACTTGGAAGAAACTGGATAAAGCAATATCCCATTTCATCTAATGCGTGTAAGCCTGCGTATTTAATTGTCCTGCTTGCAGAAAGAAGCCTGAACATTGGGCATTGTGAAGGTTTCCGTTTATTTTATATTTCTAACCTGGCATCTTTGCAGCTGCCTTAAAAAAATAAAATAAAAAGCAAAACAACAAAAATTGACCATAAGGAAAAAAACCCAGACAAATTAGAAGGTATGCAGGAATATACAAAAGAATGTAACAGCCCTATAAATGTCCTTTGGTCAAATATATTACTCTTTATTAATCAGCTTACATGCTTTTGAATTCCTGCTGCTGCTCTGCAGTAAAGCTGAAAACTGGCAAGTATTATTTTAAAACATATATTTTTAAACACTCCAATAAAATAGAGATGCTGCAGTGCGTAATAATAATTTTAAAAAGTATATTAACAATATGCTCTTTTTTGCTTTCAACCTGACAAAGCTCCTGAATCCCCACAGGGGCAGGCAGTGGATGTTACCAGCAAAATTCAGATCATGGCACCTCTACATTGGCAGAAGTCCCCTTGCATTTCCATATGCTTGATTCTAGACTGGGATTTACATATAGGAATCATTCCCTGTCAGTTCCCACAGTGACCAATGCCAATACCAAATGTACCTCATGTTTTCGTTTATGGGAATTATACAGAATCATGGATATAAACCATGGCTCTGTGTTCTTGTTAGGGGCGTAAGAAGCCCTATCATGCTCTGAAGAGCCTTGTTCAAACATAAACAGAGAGACAATCGCATAGAAAATTGCTAATAACAATCATAAATCTTCCTCTGTGGTCCTATGGGCCTTTCCTCCCGTCGATCTAAAAGCTCTATCAGAATCATAATTAATGGAAACCTCATGACACATCTATATGACATATTCGATGAAATCATGGCCCCAGGGAAGTATAAGGCCAAACTTCCACTTATGTCACCAGGGTCAGGATTTCACTCCTATTTTTTATTATAACCATTTTGGTGCTAGGGTCACTGAAGCATAGAGGTTAAGCAACATGCCCAGAAGCACAAGTGAAGATCAAGCCCAGAAGATCAAGTGAAGAGTGAGTACTAAACTACTATTTCTCATTCCTACTGCCCTTTTTCTCCCACCAGTTGCTACATCCCTACATCAACCTTAACCATCCCTTTGCTCTGCAGAAGTGACAGATTTCATGGCTCAAATGCTGCCAAGTTTGCTGCAAACACTGTTCTCTTCCTGCATAGACAATGTGGCTTGAGCTCTACAGTGTTGAAGAGGTAAACAGAGATCGATACACTTAGCAGCCATGCAGTACAAAACACCACTATGGCCAATGAGTTTTGTGTAAACCTCAGTAGATGAACCAGGGGATGGTTTGGTTAAGCATCACCTCTACAGAGCTAGGGACAGCCCGGTCACTGCCTGGGGCACTGCTGCTCTCTGTGGGGGACAGGCAAGGGCACAGACTGCATCTTTTTCTCCTTGATGGATGAGTTCAAAAAAAGCAACATAAACACGTGTTATAAAGTGCTGCCTCAATCCCCATTCGCACGTGCCACTAATATTCCAGAAATTGGTTGGTATGGAGAGGAGGGGTCAGGAAAGGTGAGGGCTGTGGCAAGGAGAAAATCACCCAGGCCATGTCTGTACAGTGCCCTTGTCACCCTCCAGCACAGGCTGGAGGAGCCCGGGCAGTGTCTGCTGTGACCTGCAGTGTCACATCTGAGCTAGAGAAGGCAAAATACATGGCTTAATTGTCAAACCTGAGCTCCTCAATGAATCACTCCGATCCAGAGTTTTGAGGACAGAAAACCCATTACAGGTTAATAAACAAGTCTGTGTTTGTCATCTTTCATGAGCTAGGTGACCACCGAACCCTTGAACCCAACAGGGATGGCACCTGGGTACCAAAAGCTGCTTTGTTCAAAACCCTGCCCCAGCAGAGCTCAGAGCAGAGCTGTGTGCTGAGTACAGCCACCGGGCAGCTCAGTTCACAGAGGTGAAGCTCTCCTGTGGCATCCTGAATTTTACACCTACGCCATTCGGGTCAGCTAAATCAGCCCATGTTGATGACCGAGGACCTCCCTTACTCCTGGCTGAGCAGCCACTGTGATTCACACGATGGAAAATGTAAAGCTTAGGGCTGCTCGTGCTATTCTCGCCCAGGCCATTTCCTGCTGAAGCCAGGGGAATTTTTGCCTTGCAGGGTTAAAGACCTGCTGACCTCATCCCATGGTGCCAACACACCATCAGCACTTTTACAGAGCTCCTGCTATTTCATCCCTCTGAAACGGACTTAACAACTTTGTGGTCAGCGCAAGTAACTTCATTTTCTGCACGGCCAACGGAAACCGCTGGCTGTGCTGCAGCTCTCTACCTCTGCAAACCACGGGGTGTGCATTTGTTTAGTATCCCAGGGCTTTCGTTTGGGGTTGTGGGTTTTTTTTCCCTGTGCAGCAACACAGCTAAATTCAAGGAGACAAACGTTGTCATTAAACAGCCCTAGAGAAAAGCCCCAAACTGCGTCACCTTGTTTAACCAGAGCCAAAGGTTGACATGGGCACATCCCCACCGTGGATTTACAAGCAGAATAAACAGAGCTGAACTCTGCTCAGCGGGAGGCTGGCTTGCCTAGAGCTCCCTGTGCAATGCCCAGGGAAGCTGCAGCTCTGCCGAGCCGCAGAGCCCCGCAGCGTCGGATGCTCCCGCAGCCATCGCTGCAGGGCTGCAGGTCAGCCGCCTTCCTCGGGAAGACAAGCGGTGCCAGGCACAGCCTTTTAAATAATAATCAGCTAATAATCCAAATCTAACTCGTGGAAGATGCTACCTGGTTTTTGCCATCCTTTTTAAAATTATCATATTTATTTAAAATAACCAAATAGGGCACTTTCCAGCCTGATAGTGACTAAAAGATCTCCAAAATGAATGGGGTTTGCCTTGCTGGCAGATTTTGCAATTATTCAGGTAATACAGAGCTGGCAGTATCTCTTTACGTTTAACAGGCAAAACAAGCGCAGAAGTCGGGAAGCAATGTTGTAGGCACACCAGAGAGAAGCCATGCAAAAGATTAATATTTAAACAGCAATGAGATCCTGAACAATGAGCAAATAAAGAAAAAATATATATATCTGAACATACCAACACTGGTTATCTTTTGGGAGACCAGGTCTTGTAGTAAAGCCTCAATTGCAGGATTATGTCTGGAATACAACTCGTACCGATTAATGCCAATGTGGAATTTTAACCAGTTTGGGTAGGAGTCTATGGAGGTTTCTCCAGTTGGCAAAAATTCTTCATTATCTTCATTTTGCCTACCACCAAAAAAAAGAACAACACAACAAAAACCCACAAATGAGGAGAAAGAAATCATGTTACAGTTTGTAACAGGCATCAAGAAACAGGGTTTCAAAACGCAACAACTTGGAAAGGCAAAGCACTTCAGAGGTGGGAGCAGTCCCAGGTTTGTCCCGGTGCCAGCTGCACACCCCCCAGGCCAAGGGGGAGATGGGTTTTCACCTCCACTTATCATGCCTGATTTAAAGTCCATGGAAGTCAGGAGCAAAACTCAGTGACATCACTGAGCACTAGCAGAGGCCCTTATATAGCAGAAACACAGAGCTGCAAGTTTTATATTGTGTTTGGGTTGTATTATGTTGCACACATCTTTTACAAGTTTGACCCAAACAACAGCATCATCCTGAACCTTTATTTAACGAGGACCTGGGTCTGGAAACTGAGAGCGCAGCAGTAACCTGACCTGTTGTACAAAATGCTCCCACTCTCTCTTCTCTCTTTTTTAAATGGAGAGAATGAGAAGAAACTGGATCACTCTGAACTGCTTGCTAAAGATTAACTCTGGATGGTTTTGCCTCTTTCCTAGCAGTAGGATACTATTACAGAAAAGAATTGTTAAAATGACTTTTAACTCCTAAATCTTATGTTAGTTCTGTGAACTTTGGCTTCAGCCACTAAAGAAAATATGTACAACAGGCAGCTGCATTGTGGACATCAATGATAATTTCACTCTTCACCTACTGAATACACTATCACGTATCTTCGATCCAGAAGTCCTCTGTGTTTTCAGTCATCTCCAGATGTTCATACATTTGTGACTCTTTTCTTTTTTTCCTTCTCAGAGAAACCAGAACTTTTTCAGGTTCTTTCACTTCACAGTCAGTTTTGATTATTAGATAGAAAGGGCCTGGACAATTCACATGCTCATGGGGCGGAAATCAGAAATATTTATCCTCTCTTTCTAAAGGTTTAGATCATGCTGGCTGCTCCGTGGCTTGACAGAGCTTTTGCACGGTACAATGCAGCTGTTTAAACATTACAATGTCAGTGTGTTTGGAAGAGGGTGCTGTTGTATTAGACAAGCCTTTTGATTTTTCAGTCATTGAAATTTCTCAGCATTTCTTACAAGCCAACAGGGCATACGATTCACAGAGGCAACTAACTGCTTTGAAGGCTGAAGAGCAGCAGAGGTGCTAGGACACTCGGAATTAATTGAGGATGAAAAACCTAGCACAGATCAGACCCCGAAGGCTGAAATAGCTGCTAGCATGAATGCCTTTGTGATACTACACCCTGCTTTTGAGAAAAGTTAATGTATTACTCACTGCCTGGTCTCACTGCTTAGCCCCTGCGCCTCTGAGTGGGAGGCCAGGAAGGTACCGGCGAGGGAGGCTCAGTGTGCGCTCCCGCTCCCTGCGCTGCTTTCCTGGTAGCATCTGCCTCTGGCTACAGCTGGAGACGGGACACCGGGGCGCCCGGCCCCCCGGCCCCAGTGCTGCAGCCATCTGCTCCTGTGTTTATTCTGTATTTCATGGCTGTTGTTGGAACACCACGGGTCAAGGCTGTGCAGGATTGCTATCTTCCCGGTGACCCGCTCCGCTTCACCCCCCGCCTCTCCAAACCGGCCGTTCCATCCGTTCTGCTGCGGGCGCGGGGGAAAGCCCCCGCCGCCGGCGGAAGGCGGCAGCCGCCCCGGGCAGCGCC